GGGCGGCCCCGCGCTGGCGTCCGCTGGGGCCGGCTCGCCGCTGGCGCACGGTGCGCGGAGGAGAGCAGAGCGAGACTCCACTCCAGCAAGGGCACGCCACTGTGAAGTCGCGCATGCCCCTCTGCAGGAGTTACGTGTATCCAAGAGAATGGTAGAAGAGAAACAGTCTGGGGACGATGGCTCGCGCATTTTCGGCTATTTTGAATAGTTCTGCCAATCCTCTTTTTTCATGCAAAATCCGTCTGTAGAAGGACATGCCCGACCTAACCTTCTTGATTTTAGTAGCAAAGGTGAAGAGGCGGTTCGAGGAGTGGGAGGTCAGCCATTGACAGGGGTGAGAGCGCGGCCATATGCATCTTAGTGTGTATGCTTTACCAGGGGTCGTGGCCGTCCCGCCCAAAAATGTAGCTGGCACTGTGGCGAGATCACGATTCCTGAACAACTTGTGGGGAAGTCTCAGGCGAAGCCGCGGCCAGACCGTGTCAGACCAGGCGTCCTCGGGGCCCACGTCGCCCCCGTGGGACTCTTTTGCTGTCCTTGCTTACCGCCAGTAGAACCCTCTCGCGAGACGCTGTCAGGGAAAGGCCGCACTGTTTGTCAGAGCTCCGCGCGGATTTCTTGGATCGGCGCCGGGAACCCCCTTGCGGCGCCTGCCGCCCTTGGCGCGTTCCGCGCGCCAGGAAGGGGGGGTCCGTGCGCCGATCCAGGGTAGCCTTCGCGGAGCTCCGAAGGCTTGTGTGTTACGCAGGTATGTTTTCCGTACAGGTGCGGAGGGCACCATGGACGCCAGCACCCTCGAGGCCCTGTTCGAGAAGGGCGCCTTCTTCGGGCTCGCCTTCAGCACCGTGGCGGCGTGGTGGAGGGGTACGCTGGGCGGCGGCCGGGCAGAAGAGCAGCAGCTCGGTGGGCGGCCGCTGCCCTTCTGGGGCCTCAGCTTCTCCTGCCTGTCGCTGGTGGGGCTTCTGTCCACGCGCTGGTACGACTGCGGCCACTTCCCGCTGAGCAACATGTACGAGTCCCTCATGTTCCTCGCCTGGGGCGTGACCGCGATCACCGTCTACTTCGCGGTCTCCGAGGGGCCGAAGGGCATCAACGCCGGCGCCACCGCCGAGAGGGCGCAGAGCCAGGCCATGACCACCGACGTCGCGGCGGTCTGGTGCTCGCCAGTGGCGTGGGCCGTTGTCGCTTTCGCCACGCTGTCCCTCCCCAAGGAGCTCCAGAAGGCGTCCGCCCTCGTCCCGGCGCTGCAGTCGAACTGGCTGGTCATGCATGTGTCCGTGGTGATGCTGTCCTACGCTACGCTGATGTTTGGCTCCGTGCTCTGCATGGCCGTGCTCGCGCTCAGCCAGCCCGAGGACAGCCCCGTCAAGGCCCTGCGGGAGGCGGTGGTCCCGGCGCTGAGGAGCGTGGCGAGCAGCCTTTCCCCAGCGCAGCAGCCAGCGGTGGCGACGTCGCCACGGGTGCCCGAGATGGCCGTGTCGGCGATGACCAACACCTTGGACTTCTCCTCCTCCTCCTCCTCCTCCTCCTCCTCCTCCTCCTCCTCCTCCCTCCTCCCTCCTCCCCTATCCCTCTCCCTCCTCCCTCTCCCTCCTCCTCCTCCTCTCTCCTTCCCTCCTCTCCTCCTCCCCTCCTCCTCCTCATCCCCCTCCTCCTCCCCTCCTCTCCTCCTCCTCCTCCTCCTCCTATCCTCCCTCCTCCTCCTCATCATCCTCCTCCTCCTCCTCCTCCTCCTCCTCCTCCTCCTCAGGCGGGCAATGCTGCCACAGGGTCTGCGGCAGGGGCGCCGGCGCAGCAGTTCCAGGTCGCGGGCAGCGCCGGCGGCGCCGTCACCGTGGAGTTCAGCTCCACGGCCGCCGCGCCCGCCGCGCGGCTCACGGAGGACGACAGGCTCGCCCTCACCCTCGACGACTTGGCGTACAGGTCTCTGCTGCTGGGCTTCGGCTTCCTGACCATAGGCATCATCTCCGGCGCCGTCTGGGCCAACGAGGCCTGGGGCAATTACTGGAGCTGGGACCCCAAGGAGACCTGGGCGCTCATCGCGTGGCTGGTCTACGCAGCCTACCTCCACGTGCGCCTCCAGCTCGGCTGGGACACTCGCGACTCCGCGAAGATCGGCGCTTTTGGATTCTTCGTCGTCTGGCTGTGCTACGTCGGCGTGAACCTCATGGGCGTCGGCCTCCACTCGTACGGGTTCTTCCTGAAGTGACGCCTCTCGGCTCGCGCGGCGCTGCGGCTCGACGTTCCACCCGACGGCCGTCGCTGCAGTGGAAGTGCCGTTTGCTGGAGAGCGGATTGTTGGAGTAGGGTGCTGCCCGACTGCACTGGAGATTGTATTCCTGCTCCAAAGGCCGGAGGGTCATCACCACCACCACCACCACCACCACCACCACCACCACCACCACCATAACTGGAGGGTGGGCAGACGGACGGCCATGGATATCGGTCCGAAGTACAACACCGTCCAAAATCATACACTTCCGGAGGCCCGCGCGGATCTCTTGAGTCGGCGCCAGTCGCGCCGCTTTGGGGGGCCCAGCGCCGGTCCAAGAAATCCGCGCAGAGCGCCCGTCCAAGGAATCCGCGCAAATCATCAGCTTTTTCCTGCGTTGGTGGCGCGCATGTTTCGTTAACTGGGGCATGTCCTTCCACAGGAGGAATAGTCAAACATAGCCAAACAATAGTCAGGTGACGATTTTTCGATTGTGTTTTAGGCATCCTTGGACTGACGTTCATTTTTCAACCAAAATCCGCCTGCAGGAGGACGTGCCCGACCGACGTCGTTTGGGGCGCCTCTCGTGGGGCGTCCCGCGCACGGCTGCGGCCCCTGCGGCTGCGGCCCCGGGGTGGTGCCCAGAGCTCCGACGGCGCGGTCTCCCGCCGCGGGGTCGCCTCAGTGGCCTGCCGGTCCCCAGTTGCACGCTGGCCAGTTCGCTTCTCGCTGCCCCCGTTCAGCTCCAACGCTGCAGCCAACTCTGTCTCACCGCCGACACCTGGAGGCCCTCGGCTGGCTCCACATCAGAGTGCCCCCTCCGTGGCGTCACCCTGGCCAGTCTTGCGAGCGGTGCCCAAGCCGCGAGGGCCCCTCAGGAGGCCCAGACGGGCGAAGCACATTGGGTTTCACGTTTCTTCTTCCCCCTCCTCCGGGTGGTGGTGGTTGTGAGTTAACTTCATCCTTGTCGTGTCGGTCCGTGTACAGTGCGGTCGCCACCGCAGCGACACTCGGGCGACCACCCCCACGACAGCCCCCGACGGCACAATAACATAGATGTTTTTCTGGCGTGCGTGCGTGACGCGGCCTGTCATCCGGCGTTTTTTCCGGCTGTGTTATATCACCGTCCCGCGCAACCTCATGTTGCCGGCGTGTCTTTGCAGCGTGTTGCACGCCAGGTTTGTTTGACAAAAGAAGACTGCCGCGCGAGCGCCCGCGCGCCCAAGGCGTAGTGGGGACCAGGAGCTCTCAGAATCAGGAGTGGCTGCGTCTCATCCCCCTCCCCGTCCGCATCCTCATTTTGGGCGTTTAGCTTCGGCGTCTCCGCGGTTTCTTACACAGCCCTGCCCTTCCCCGCCTCCACCATTTTCCTGGATGAGGAATCTGCAGGGGAGGAGGGGGAGAGGGGTCATTATTGATGCTTCGCGTGCAGTCGGATCGAGGTGTGAGATCGAGGTCGGTTCGGGGAGGGTGCCCTAAAGATCTTCGTGTTAATTGGATGTTCTTGTGCATCCTGTGGAGGCTGCCCTCGGGTGTTATGTTTTTTTGTTGTTGTTTTTTTCCGACAGAAGGGCTAGTGTTCTTGAGGGATGTTCTTCTGGCCTAGGTTTAAGCTGGGCCTGTCCCTCTACAGGAGGACTGTCCAAAAATTGTAAGACAATAGTCTGGGGACGATTATTCTATTATGTTTGGCCATGTTAGTTGTTTTTGTTTCTGTAGGGCGGCATACCCGACCTGAGCCCAGGTCCGACGGTATCCACACAAGCCCATCCAAGAACAGTTACTGGGCAAGATGCCTTGATCAGATATGTGTAGCAGCATACAGCCCCGCAGTGAACCGCGCCTGGCTTCGCAGATGTTGCGAAGGATGATGATGATGATGATGATGATGATAATGATGCTGATGATGCTGCTGCTGCTGCTGCTGATGATGATGATGATGATGATGATGATTATGATGATGATGAAGAAGAAGAAGATGCTGATGATGATGATGGTGGTGATGGTGATGGGTGATGGAGATGATGATGATGCTGCTGCTGATGATGATGCTGATGAGGATGATGATGATGATTATGATCATGAATATGATTATCATCATGATGATGATGATTATGATGATGGTGTTGATGATGATGCTCATGATGATGATGATGCTGATGATGATGCTGGTGATGATGGTGATGATGATGATTATGATGATGCTGCTGCTGCTGATGATGATGATGATGATGATGATGCTGCTGCTGCTGATGATGATGATGAGGAGGAGGAGGAGGAGGAGGAGAAGTCTTTTCGTGGTTGTCTTGGTGGAGTGGTTGCCTGTCGTTGCCTGCGGTGCCTGTCAGAATTACGTCGAGCGTCCCTTGGACCGCCACGGTGGAGTGGTTGCCTGTCGTTGCTCGCCGTGCGTGCGTCAATGTGGGCGCCTGTAGCTCGACGACGACGGCGACGACGACGACGACGGCGACGTCGTCGACGACGATGACGGCGACGACGGCGACGGCGACGACGACGCCGACGAGGACGACGGCGACGACGACGACGGTGACGACGAGGACGACGACGACGACGACGACGACGACGGCGACGGCGTCGTCGACGACGACGACGGCGACGGCGACGACGGCGACGACGACGACGGCGACGGCGACGGCGACGGCGGCCAATATCAAGACCTCTGCGATCTTTTGTTCCGGCAGCGTCCTGGAGGCCTCTTGGGGCCATCGTGGGGCCCTCGTGGGCGGAACGGCTGCGAGCAGAAGCCCGGGACCGTGCCCCCCTTGCCCATGCTCGGTCCCTGGGCCGAAACGGGCTCAAAGAAGGCGACCGCCTGCCGAGCTCGCGCTGGCTGGTGCATGTTTTGCCTCATCCGTGATACCTGCGCCTTTCTCATGCCTTGGGAAAGAAAGGAAGGCCTTCGTGGGGGGCTCTCCTGGGGCCCTCTCCGGCCAGCTTTTTCGCGGCGTGCGCGTGGCCCCCCGCTCGAGCGCCGCGGGCCGACAAGAGGCGCCGCCCCCGCCCCACGAGGCGCGCGGCGGCCGCTCCGACCGCCTGGCGGCCGCAACCAGAGGCCCCGCGCGCGCGCCGCCTCCGCGCGCCAGAGCGGGCCCGCGGAGGGGTGCTTTTCTCGGGCCGCAGGTCAGGGGGGGATAGGGGAAGGGGGGTTACAAAATCTGCTGCATGCAGCTGGTTTCGGCCCCGTGGCTGGGCCTATTCCTCCAGACTTGGCCGCCTCCCGGCGCCGGGAGGCGGGGGGAAAATCAGCTACGTGAGCTGGTTCTCAAACCCCCCCTTTGCTATCCCCCCCTTTCGCCCGGCCCGAGAGGGGTGCTTTTCGAGGACCCAGGCATGTTCGCGTCGAAGAAGAAATCAGGACGAGAGGTGTTCGGCTAATTTCGGCCTCGGGGGGCCCTCGCCAGGCCCCTGGCGGGACCTTCAACGAAAGCGACACGGGAAGAGAAGCCGGCCCCGGGGAAAGGGTCGGGACCTCCAGGGACCCCGTGCTGGAAAAATGAGGGCGTCGCAGGTCTGGGGTTAGGTCGGGCACGTCCCCCTTACATGCAGATTTTAAAGGAGAAACAACACATAGCCCAAAAATATTCGAAAATATTGGAACATAGTAGAAATAGCGTCCCCCGACTATTTCTTTCCTATTGTAGTGGCCTCCGGCCAGTGCCGCCGATCCGGGGCGCTCCGGATGATGATGATGATGATGATGATGATGATGATGATGATGATGATGATGATGATGATGATGATGATGATGATGCTGATGCTGATGCTGATGCTGATGCTGATGCTGGATGATGATGATGATGATGATGATGCTGATGATGCTATGATGCTGATGATGCTGTGATGCTGATGATAGATGTGATGATGCGATGATGCTTGCCGATGCTGCTGCATGCTGAAGATGAGATGATGATGATGATGATGATTCTGATAATTCTGATGAGACTGATGATTGATGATGATGGACGATGACGATGACGATGCGAGATGGTTGATGGTGATGGTTTGATGTTGGATGATGCTGATGTTGATGTTGATGTGATGATGATGATGGACGATGATGCTGAGTTGATGATGATAAAACATGATGATGATGGTGATGACGATGATGCTGATGCTGATGCTGATGCGATGAGCGATGATGACGATTGACGATGACCGATTGATGATGATGGATGATGAGACGATGATGTGATGATGATGATGATGGTGCTGATGACGACGATGATGATGATGATGCTGATGATGGTGATCGTGATGGTAATGGTGGAGCTGATGCTGATGCTGATGAAGATGAAGATGAATATGAAGCTGATGATGATGATGATAATCATGATGATGATGATGATGATGATGATGATGATGATGATGATGATGATGATGATGATGGTGATGGTGATGGTGATGGTGATGGTGATGATGGTGATGGTGATGTGACGATGGTGATGGTGATGGTGATGGAGATGGTGATGATCCCAGCCCCCCCTCCCCACCTCCCCTCCTCTCTCCTGTCCCCCTCCCCCTCTCTCCTGTCCCCCCCCTCTGTCTCCCCCTCTCTCCTTTCCCTCCCCCCCTCTCTCTCCTGTTCCCCCCCCCCTCTCTCCTGTCCCCCCCCCCCTCTCTCCCCACCTCTCTCCTGTCCCCCCCCCTCTCCT